GGGGGGGGGGGTGTCTGGTTTTTAGTTTTGTGAATTTTTAATTGATAAGGAAATATGAAGTTTTTCAAAATACTGCATCCATATAATAATTCTGATGTCTACTTAGAACACTGAGTTTTGAATTCACAAGAAAACTAATTCATAAAAACAGGACAGGTAAGCCCTATCATTTTTATGTCTTGCAGTATTACAATCACAAGATGCTTTTATGATCCAGAGAAATAGATGCTCATCAACATGCTAACCATAGCTCATATTTAAAGTTTAAGGGTACATAAAGTCATACTAGATTCAAATTACCAGCCTAAGAGTAGAAAAAAATACCCACCTTTGCTATCTTCAGGTTTTCATTTCTCCATAGATTTCTGTGCTGTCCTTGAAGTGAACTTACACAATCTCATTAGAGGCCTTTATCTACATACTATTGTCATCACCTTGCAATTTCATCTGAAGTTTCCCCCACACACCCTTTGATATGTCCAAATACCCCTTGTGATTGCACATGCTACACAGTGTACACTTGAGTATTTTTCTGAAGGACAGACATGAGTATGTTTCTCTAAAATCAGATATGGATTATATATATTTTTACTGAAAAGAAACGTAAATCCTACCCAAAAGAAAAAAATATGGAAGCAAGCACATTTACTTTTCTAGTAAATTAAGACCTAGATAATTTAAATTACATTAAAATAAAGTTATTGGTTTCAAAGAAAAAGTATCTAAGGCTATACAGACTCCAAAAAACTGCCCTATCAAATAATGATACACATGAGCAACTACATTAAATATAATAAAAAGTAGTTTCCTTTTTAGGCGAGCCATTTAATAAATGCAGCTTCAAATGAAGCTTGCCAAAACTTCTGTAAAGCCCAGTCTCAGAAAACTCTGTGCACCTGCTCATTTATGCTAATCCCTCTATAGAACCATTCACCTATATAATTAACTGTGTATAAATTAATATCTATCTATCCTCAAACCACGTAACAGTTATTTGATCTTCTAAGGTCTAAAAAAATATTAGAAATGGATTAAACTGAACAGCTAGTCTACATTGTATTCTAGGTGTTTTACCTTGCCAGAGGATTATGCATTAACTACTTTTCACAAGGATTTTGAGCTAAATTTAAGACAGAAACTATGCAATCTTAATAGAAACGTACTCTGCTGCTAAGTCAAGAAGTTTAGTTTGGCTGCACTTCAGGAAGTTTAAGAGTGGCTTCAACGGAGCAGGCATACAGCAATGAAAAAAAACAAACCAACCCTACAGCAACGCACCTTTACAACCCCCTTATGATCCTTATAGTAATCTTTCATTTTCCTGAGCTGAAACCAGGCATTTTGAAGGGTCCTCCTGTTCAAGTAGGTATGCGGTACTGCTCTAAGTATGCACACATTTCCCACATCGAGAATATACAATTTTACTCGCAAACTACGTTCCATGCATTACATATTTGCAAGAGAAATCAAAACAGCAGGTGCCCCCCTAATCAGAGAGGCCTCTTCAAGAGAAAAAGTAAGACTATTTTACAGGTTAAACATACGTACTCTAGAAATGGAAGAGACGGCAAGTGGAGGACGGCTCTTCCCAGTCTCTGTCCAGTTCACGTGGGGAGGTCTTCTGCGAAAGAGGTTCTCTAAGTGCGCGTCTGTGGCATGCCATGCTTTTTTAATCCACCTGTGCCGTTCCCAACTTACCTACTCGGCCGTATTTGTAAAAGCTTGCAGTGCTGGCAGTTGCTCCTCTAAAGGCAGCTGGAAGTCTTTTTAGGAGCCTCAGGGCTCTCGGGTTTGGGCTCTGCAGTTCCTTGTGGCCAGACACTCCCACCGCTGAGGTAGCAGCACGCAGAAGCAGCTAGAAAGTTTGCCACAATCTCTACCTTCCCCTGCGATTCGCTCCTCTCGCAGCCTCACGCTCCTCTCCTCCCTGGCGTCAGGGACTGGCTTTAAGGGCGCCGGCGGAGCCGACGCTTCTCGGAGCGCTGCCGCCCGCCCGCCCGCTCGCCGCCTC